AAGTTGGAGGAGATAGCTTCAAGATTTACTCTAGAAACTCCCTGCTTCCCATGGCCAGTGGGGCCCAGGTTCTGGATTTATTGTCTTTTCCTTCCTCCTTGGTGATTGTTCTCATCTGACCTTAAAGCAAGAAATTTGCATGGATAGAGGCGGAAAAAGTTGCTGAAGCCATCCAGCTCTCTCTATGGAGTTCAAAGGCACTTTTTAAATCTAGATCTTGGAGTCATAGAGTTATTAAGGTTGGAAAAGACCACTAAGATCATCTAGTCCAACTGTCAACTCATCCCCACCATGCCCACTATACCATGTCCCTCAGTGTCACATCTGCCCCTTTCTTGATCACCTCCAGGGATATGACTCCACCACCCTCAGGCAGATCAACACTTTCTCCCAGCATGGTGTCATCAGCAAGTTTATTGAGGGCTCCTTGCAGTCCTCTTCACCACTGGTCTCAGCACCTTCTGCTGACTCTCTAGGACTGCAGCTAGGAGGCTTGATTCTGAAGGGGAATTGTCTGTCAGCTTAAATGGGAAGGAACATCCATAGCACTGAAGGGTGCCACACGACCCGAAACTGGGGAGCCTCACGAGAGACACTCACAGATCTCCACCCTTAGCAATAATCAGTTTGGAGATGTTTGGTTTTTTTTTTGGCACTTCTTAACTGTCTGCATGGGCTGGAGCTCCTTGTCCTTGCCTTGGGCCCTTTACACTGCCAGTTGTAATACAATCAGAAATGCCAGTCCCAAAGGGCATCACTCCCTGTGCCTAGCTGCAGTTGTGGAAATGTGAGAGAAATTAAATGTGGAGCCTTTGATTTGCTAAGTTCAAACCTGAGTAGGCCTTTACCATGGAGCAGGCATGGCAGGAGAGGCTGTGGCATAGGCAGTCTGCCATGCGTAGGGCTGTTCTTTCATCATAGATGTAGGAGCTAAAGCTTCTCAATAACTACAACTATCCCAGCACTTTGTCAACCAGAATTGAAGGGCCTCCATTTGGTTGTACCATTTTTCAAACTAGACTGGTCTGCAGGCTTGTAATAAAGGACGGCTGAAATGGAAGGCAGCGTGTGAACTCCCCTCCATTGAGAATTCATTCTGCCTTCCCACCACGGTTTCCATCCTCTGGTAAAAGAGAGTTGAGCACAGGCAAGATGCACTGCTGCATGCAAAGCTCAGCTCACCAGTTCACCCATTCACAGTTCCTAAAAATAGCAAACATTTCCGCTCGCTCTTGAGAATTCTGCACTATCTTGCAGAAGTGCAAGATGAAGGATCTTTAACTCAGCAAAGATGGGGAACCCTGGATATAGACTAAGCCTTTGGGATATATCCTTAGAAATATACAGCATCTAGCATATGGTGTGTCCACGCTCTTGGGGCTGATGTGAGCTGGGATTTGTGGCTTAAAGGACACATAGTTGCCAAAAAATGATGCTCCCAGCTGTTCAAGCAGTTGTTGATTCTGTCAGCAACATCAGTACTGGTGGTCTTCTCATCCAGGGCCGACATACAAAGGTGATTACGTGGCACTATAATTGCTGGTAGAAACTTTGTCCTGTGGAAGGGCTTGAAGAAAACCTCTTCTGCTAGGAACCCACAAGATGTAACAGCCAAAGGTTTCTGTCTTGTTGAGACCAGGCCTAGGTGCAGCTGCAGCAAGTGCAGGAAGAGAAGGCCATGTCCTACACAAGGCAGGAAACATTCCCTTACCTCTGCCCTTCCCTATTTCCACATCACGAAGTATACTTCATGTATTTGCAGGGTGTTTTTCGTCTTCTGTGCAAGAAGATCAGTAGCACTTCTGGTTCTGTGTCCAATTTGCTTTGTTTTCTCTTCCCTTGTTTTGATTCTTGTTTTGTTGTTGTTGTTGTTGTCATTGATTGGGTTTGTTTTTTTTTTATTGCTGTTGTTGATGATTATTTTTTTCTGCTTTGGGAGAATAACCGTGTTCTTCAGGGAGCTGCTGGTTTGACAGAAGGGCCAGCCCTGTCCCATCCTGTAAGCAGTACATGGAGACCAGTAAGATTTTCCATCTTGATGGCAAACCCTGGGGAGGAGTGGCACTTAGCTGATAACTGTGATGGCAAGGGAAAGAGCTCCTTGTTCCCCCTGCCACACAACAGCTCCTCAGGGCCAGAGGTGACACAGCTAAGTGGTACTGGTAGAGATTCATTTTGGATGCTCCCTAGTGCTAGTTCTAATTATGGTATTTACTGATGTGGTAGATATTTCTACAGAAATATCTATCCAAGCTCCATTTGCTAAATGCATCTGTGTGCTTGAAGAGGTTTGAAATATGCCCTGGTGCTGGCAAAGCCCTGCTTTCTCTTTCTTTCCCTGTTTCTACAGAAAGATAGATGTAATCTGATTCACTGCTTTTCTACTTTACAGACTCCTCAGGACAGCACTGATTTCTCCCTCCATGTCACAAACCCAAAGATGGAAGTAGCAGACAGATGAGCACCTAGCAAGTGCTGAACCATAGGACACCATGCACCATGGTAGCTATAGACCAGAAGCCATGATCTGTAGATACTTTTGGCACAGTGCTATTACACTGTGACTGTGGGACTTGGAGACAGGGGTGTCCATAGGAGAAAAAAGTTATGGTGTAGAGCTTGCAGCAGAGCAACAAGTAGGAGGGTAGTTCAAATGAATGATTTAATAACAGGACAACGGACAGCCATGAACAAATTCCTCCATGGCCTCTTCAGGATGATTGCAGTCACAGCATGCCAACTCCAGCAGCCTCCAGTGGGTCTTTTTTTACTCATAACATGAACTTCAGAAATAAAGACTGTTGGGCTCTCTCTGGAGAGCAGAGAGCCCCTGAGGAGGGGAGGGAGACCCGGCTCTTGGGGTTCTGGGGGTCTCAAGGCTGCCTGTCATCTGAAGGGGAAGAAACAAACTCCTCAGTGAGCATCTTCCTGTATCAAATGTGCGTCTGTCTTAATGAGACTCAGCAGAGATGGGTGACTAATTCCAGAGCATTCATTTATTTGTGAACATGGCTTCAGGTAGATTATTCAAGAGCATACTATGGTGTCTTTGAATATGTTTGCTGCTAAGCAATTGGCTTTCCCAAGCTCCATGTTGTGGCTGAATGGTCAGATAATTCATGTGATACGGTTTCTGCTCCCGACTGGGTGAACTTGCAAGCACAAATGTCACCATTTGTGAGCATAATTTTTCCCCTTCATGTATGCCCCTGACATTTGTTTTCCACTTACCTTTTTGCCAGTAACATGCAATCACATTTGGTGGAATGGAACACTGCTAATGGACCAGAGAAGGAAGGAGTGGAATGGCCCATAGTGGAGCTAAATGGGACCTTTGGTGCCCAGAGCTTTGAGAGAGACAAAGGCTTCTCATCTCTCCCAGGAGCTCCTCTCTGGTACCCAGCAGCTTAATTCAGAACAAGTGCTTCAGAAACATGCTGCTGTCAGGAGACCTGTGCACTGCTGCAGCAGTGGATGGGGTTAATACCACACCTGTGTGACAGCAAGCAGTGAGAGGAGCTGGAGCAGCGCCTCCTACACTCCAGGCTCCTGGTGGCACGTTTGCACGTGGGGAAACATCACAGGATCCTGATACCATGGCAGCAATACCTGTGCCCTCCATCACAGGGCGAGGCACTCCATTTGAAGCATGAGCAGCCACACAGGAGAAAACCTGCCATGTGGAAATGGTTTAAGTGGCTGATCTTTGGCTAGAGGCTGAACCTGACAAAGCACAAGCTCAGACCTGATGGGCTGGTCCCTCTTCTGCAACAAGTATGTAGGGAAACCCTATTGCTTTGGAAGAGCCCCTAGGCCAAGAGTATTATGAGATATGAGGAGGGCTCATTTTCCACCAGTTTGGGTTGCTTCTCTTCCCAAGGGCTTGCAAAGGGACAGCCCCAGTGGGTTGGTAGGCGCAGTGGAGCAGAAGGGCAGCTCAGAGATGCTCTCCAGGTTCAAGGACTGACAACCTGCAGATGAGAGTGTTGCCCAGCTGCCACCCCGCATTGCCTCGTGTTCAAGGGTATTTTGATCCCCACCCTGCCCAGCTGCAGTTACACATCCACTCTGCCTTCAGGCCCAGAGGGCTTTGGAGAGTACCCACACACAGGTGTTGGCCAGTACTAGTGGGGTGCAAGAGGAAGGGAGAGCCTTGCTTCAAGGTCTGCTCTCCCCCTGCATCCCCTGCCTGGTGGTGCTGGTGGGAGGGTTTGGATGGTACTGCCCCTGCTCTGTGCTGACAGTGCCACGGTAGCTCTCCTTCTTCCTAAGAAAAATTTCTCCATGGAAATCCATCACTCCATGCCTGATCTAGAGAGGTAGAGCCCCTTAATATTACTTAATATTACTTTTTTAAGATAAAGATCAGAAGCTGATACACAGGAGATTGTGACTGAAGATTTCAATGACTGTTACCATTTCAGTGGGTAAAACTATAGCACCAGCAGCTGATCCTCAGCAGTGCTTCTGGCAGTTTTGTCTCCCTTCCCCCAAACTTTGTTTATGCCCATAGGACAACATCCCCTGGGGAAAACTGAGCATCCCTACTGACCTGGAGTTACGTGGCCTGGAAATGCCTCCAGCCCCACCAGACCTCAGAATGCCTTCCTCAGCTCCCCAAGTGGCCATCAGGCCACCCTCTGCCCTGTGGCATGGAAGGATTTCCAGCAGATCACCTTCTCCTTTATCTCCGTGTCTGGAGGAAGAAGTCCAGCCTTCACTGATCACACCATTTCAGACAACCTCGGAAACCATCAGCTCCTGCACTCAGCCACCCTTATCCAGGCACATCCCCCTGCCTACTACTCCATCCTCTCTTGTGCTCCCATCTCCCCAGGAATAAGCAAAACCCTCCCCTCTGCAAGCCAGCAGGAGTTAATGCTGTCAGCCATGACGTCAGGATCACAGTTTGCCTGGAGAGTCCCCCTCCCCATCCCCAAACTCCCTCTCTCCTCCCCTCCTCTTCTGACTTTGCAATGAGCAGCAAAACTCCACAGGAGCTGCGGCAACAGCACTAGGGAGACATCCAGCCTCCCTCAGAGAGTGGCTCCTTTCACAGACAGGGATTTATTTATTTTTTACACATGCATATATGTATTTATTTATTTACCGGGTTGCATTTGTTTTTCCCTTTTTCTTTTTTTTTTTTTTTTCTAACCCTTTCAAAGAAGCCCTAAACCATCCAAGTGATTAGCCTGAGCTTGCCATAAAATAGAATAACAGCAGAGTGAGGTGTCACTGCTTCCCCTTCCCCATCGGAAAATAAAGAGGGAGGGGGGAGCAGGTAGATAAAATCCAGAATAAAATTGTACTGCTGATAACTCACACCTCCCCCCTCACACACACACACACACACACACACACGCAGACACACACACCACTCTCTTTCTCCTCCTCCTCTTCTCTGAAGGTGGGTAGCAGGAGCCATGCAACATCTGCAGAACCGGATGGCAAAAGAACAGGAGGAAAAATAATCCAAGTGGAGTGCTCAAGGGACACTGAGTTCTTCTTTTTTTTTCTTTTTTTTTTTCTTTCTTTTTTTTTTTTTCTTTTTTTCTTTTTTTTCATTCTTCTCCTTCGTATCTGCATACCTGTGAGATTCGATTTCACATTTTGCTAAGCTCATTTTGGGGCATTTTATTTTTCTTTCTCTTGGGATTTTCTCCATTGCCAGAGGATGTCTCTTGTTGAAAGGATGCTGAAAGGAAGAAGAAACGAATTCTTTGACTGGCACTGAAGGAGGGGGGGGGGGATATTTTTCCCCCACATTTTTTAGTTTTTCTCATTATTCTTTTTCTCCAGGAAATAACTGACTGGGGGGGGTTGGTTTCTTTTTTCCCTCCCCCCCTTTCTTTGGAGGGGGATTTCAGGAGATCCATCCTTCTTTCCCCTCCCCTCCAAAGATTTTTTTTTCATCCTTCGTCTTTGTGGAAATGTGGACATTTCAGGCAGACAGATTGAGTGGAATTGTCTCTGCTTTAGCAGCTCTTTGTGTCGCCTGCTGTGCGCAAAGGTAAGGATTGCGATCCCAGGCTGCAGGGACTGGGGTGCTGATACAGGGCTTGTTTGTTTTCTTTGGGATTTTCTCCGTCAATCTGCGTGTGGGAAAGGGGAGGGGGTCCTTTCCCCAAATTGCTTCCCCCGCCGCCTGTTGTTGTTATTCCCCAGCCCGTGTCATGACAGGGGGAGGAGGGATGCTCATACATGCGATGTGCTGCAGACGGAGCCCACCTCGCAGCCCACTTGCAGCACATTCCCTCCCCCCCCCCCCCCCCATCCTTTTCCCGTTCAACCTGGGGGGAAAACAACAAAACGAAGCATTTTGCTGGGAAATATGGTGTCCGTGGGAGCCGAGCTGCGTGCATACGCACCCGGCACAGGGCTGCCTTGGCCATGCCTGTGTTGCACACACACGGTGCACACGCAGCCACATCACATCCAGGCGTGTTGTGCCGTTAGCAGAGCCCAGCTCCGCAGTGCACAGGAGGCGATGCCTACGTCTGTGCCTACACGCAGATTTATGGCATGCCACATAATCATCTGGGGGTGCAACCGGCTCAGATACAGCCCTGCATGCACGCATCCATCTGTGCTGATTGGCTGCACACATGTGCATGGCAACACACGGACAGCACAGCACGGTTTACCTGCTCTGTGTGTAGCCATGTCAATGTTTGCACTGCTTCCCTGCGTGCCCAGGCTGCAGCTATTCCTGGTGCATGCCTTGAGCACTCTGAGCAATCCCAGCAGCCAGAGGCACAGGCACCCATCCAGCCTGGACAAGGTGTACAGAGCACACCTGTTTGCTCTGACACAGGCGTTCCTGCTGCCTGCACACGCAGGAGCCCTCTGACTGCTCCTCCTCACCCTTCTTCTGACAGATGCAGGCAGGTGGGTTTGTACCTGTGTGCTGCGGTGGGAGCTGAGGCATTACTATGCTCAGTCGTGCATGGTAACAGAGCATTCCCATCACACATATGCAGCTCCATGCACAGGCTTGCATATCTATATACACAAAGATTTATGTTCCCATAGTTATAAGCATGCACATGCGCAGAGTCATGCCCACCTTCTGCACACTATTTGTGCATGATTCTAATGTGTATGGACACACGCAGAGACATGCTTAGAAGCAAATGTGTAAAGAGCAGTGCTCACATCAGCAGCCTGTGCTCAGACATGTGTATTTATTTGTATATTTCTTCTGCTTATGTCCCAGACAGACATTCACTTACAGTCTCAATGCACATCTCTGCACATCCTGGGGACAAAACTGCTCTCCCATGTGCACATGCCTCCAGCTACTCCCACTCATTCCTTCCAATAGCACAGTGCGCATATATGTAGATGTTTGGCTGCAAGTGTGTTTGTGTATGTGAAGCACATGCATACCCACATGGCCAGGGACATGGAAGTCACAAATTCAGCTCACAGGCTGGATGGATGTGCTCCCTTGGCGGATGCAGACCCACATTTGCCAGGAATAGCACTGACATGCAGCTGCTCACCCACAGCTGGGCAAATGCACAACTTGCCTGCTCAGCATGAGGGAAGTGGCTTTTGGGATCAAAAAGAGCACTGACAGGCAAGAAACTATGCCCTTGATCACAGTGCCAGGTTTTGCCCTCATGGGGCCCAACTGATGGGGAGGAACAAGTCCCTCTATCCCTTTCTCCCCTCTGCCCCTTACCTCATGGCCCCTGACACATTGGCTGCTCTCTCTGCTTTGGTTTCTTTGCCCATATCAAAGGAGTATCACAATTTCCTGAGCTCGTGTCCTGTGTGAGGCAGAAGTGCCTAGCCCCCTGAGAAATGCATGCTATATCTATATGTTGAATATGGAGACCTATAAACGTAAAAATCTTTGTGCCCAGCAGTGACTATCTAGAAATGAAAAATGCCAATGGACACTAACACAGTGAATATATATACAAAAGTGCATGGCAAAAACTTGCATACCTGCATAGAAATCCACAGGTGTTAACACCTTTGCAAGCACAGGCACAGTGCTGTGAAAACATCCACCTGCATGCAGCTCTCTGGCCTTTTTACGGTGATTAAAACAATGCTCTCCAAGGAAAAAGTAAGGTCTTTGTAAGGTGCCCAGTCAGGGCAGTGCAGCTCAGTCACAACCCTGGCACAAGTGCTGAAGGGTTTGTGCCTGCACCAAAGCTGGGCCAGTGAGGTGTGCTGGCTTCCACTGAACATCACTATTTGGCTGAGAGATCCTTGCACATCCACAGCCTCACTGCATGCCCAGTCCTGCCAGTCCCACATGCCTCCACCCACTCCTGTACAGAGAACCTGGCCCCAGCCAATGGTACCCATCAATTCCTGTTTCTGTGCACCTGCATATATTGTGTCCACACCCCAGTTTGTCCTCACAACACAACAGAGCACCTGTAGTCCCCACCATGTAGACCTGGATGTCATCACACATATGCATGTATTTGTGCCCGTCTGTCACAGCTGTAGCCTTGAGCTCCAGTGTTCTGATGTCTGTGTGCTCACGCAGAAGGCCATGCATGCCCCATACAGTCTGCCCTGTGTGTGTGTGTGCGTGCAGACACACGGACATGTCAGGACAGACACTGATGTCCAGCGAGGCGCAGGATGACTGGCAGAGGTAGTGCCATTGTGCGGCTTTCCTTTGACTTAGATGGATGTGGGAGGCAGTGCTGACAGCGAGACATGCTGTTCTGGTGGGTGACTGCAAGGAGCAGTGTTTGTTACTGCCAGGGACCCCATTTCTCTTGCAGAGCAGGGGATGGAGGGTGGCACAGGGACTGAGTTCCAGGTGACAGAACCTATATGCCCCACTACATAGAATAGGCTCAGTATTTTTAGTATCCTCTGCATTCTGGTCTCCTGCCTTTGGTTTTGCTTTGCCTCACAGGCTGCTTTTAGAGGGAGCACTGTTCTCACTGAGATGGCTGGGGGGGGCTTAAACTGCTGAAGCAGGGGCAGCCCTGCATGGCAGTCAGGGGGCCAGAGGGCAAGGCACCGTGCCCTGGCACACATAGCAGAAGATGGACCCTGCCTCCCAGCTCTGCTTCTTGATTCGCGTTGCTAAGAAGCCATGGTGATGCTGAGTGGCAGAAAACAAATTTTTACATGGCAAAGATTGGCTGTGTGTTATGACACTGCTTTTTCCTGTGCTTTAATAGCATGAAGACATATCTGGGTGCACAGGGAAGCAGAGCTTGCACTGGGTTGTAGCAGCGCAGCTGTGTGTTGGGGGGCAGGTGTGCAGTGGGGACATCAGAGCATGGCAGTCCATGTTGTGCAGTGTGAAATCAGGGGAAGGTACCCAGAAAAGCGAGTTGCTGGCCAGGGTGCACTGGGCTGTGGGATGGCAGCACAGGTTGTGTGGTCCTGTGGGATGCAAGAGATCCTGTGGGATGCTGTGGGATATGAGGGATGCTGTGATGGAGCTGGTTGGTTGGGATCCCCATGCATGGGCCTGGGAGCACAAAGGATGACAAAGGTTTTCTCCCTTTTATTTCAGCCCATCCACTGGGAATATTTCTGTGGTGAAAGAGATTGTGGACAAACTGCTGAAGGGCTATGACGTCCGCCTCAGGCCTGACTTTGGAGGTATGGTGACAGCCAATTGCGGGGAGCGGAGCACGGGATCCTGCCTGCACCATGCATCACCCTGCAACACGCTCCCTCCTGCCTTCTCCCTCATGTTTTCTTCTTTCCCATGGTTTCCCTCCTCTTCTCTTCCCACCCTGCCCTCCCTTCTCTTCCTCATCCTTCCCCATCCCTGGCTTCTTGGCCTCCCCAGTGCCTGCTTTGGCCCCTGGCTCAACCCGAGCACTGAGCTTTGCAGGGCACGGGCCAACATTCCTGGTCTAAGTTCAATATTACTGAGTGCCACTGGAGATGAGAAGCGTAGAAAAAAGAGGAACTCTATCCTGAATTTGCACTGTCTGCAAACAGATGGGGGATTGTTCATGATAGGTTGTTTCTGAGGACATTTTGCTGAGACACTGGATTTTCTCTACCCTGAACTTTCCTCCCTCATGGACCACAGTTCATACCTCCATAACTTCTGCTGCTCATGGTGCCAGATTTTATAGCTGCTTTCCCTGTGGAGGGTTGGAATGTCCACTGGCAAGGCTGTCAGTTGGTCTGTACCCCTTAATGACAATAGGGATAAAATATTATCTGGAGAGCCTCTGGCCTCATTGTCATTCAGTAGGAGATGGAAGGATCTGCAAATTCCTCTCCTGTATTCTGTGAACACAAAGGAGAATGGAAGGGATTTGCTCTTTGTCACCGTGGTGGAGATGAAGTATGAAATAATCCTTGGGTATTGTCATACTGCAGGGCACTGCTGAGATCTATCTGTTGTAAAGCTGCAGGCACTGGAGATCCCACCACTGACCACATGGTCAGAGAGCATCCCAAGAAGGTGGGGGGGTTGGAGCACTCCTCACTTCACCTGCCACGCTTGGCTGTTTTCAGTCTTCTCTGGGTAATGCCAGTTCCTCCTCAAGAGGAGGAATGTGGGACTGAGGGAGCTTTAGCGCAAGGAGATCAGATGTTCTCCAGACAACTGCTGGGAAGCGGATTCATTTATGGGCTTTTGAAAGAAAGAAATGCCACAGTCAGTTCAGTGGAGGGCAAGGGAGGAATTTTCTCCTGAAGAGCTTGATCCAAATCTCCTTGAAACTATGGGTAAGGGAATATTGCTGTGTATTTCTTTCTTTTTTTTTTTTTTTTAAGTCACCGTGGTGACATAAGAGCAGCACAAGGTGCTGCTGGCACTGGCCTAGTGGGGGATGTGGGACAGGGCGATGCTTGTTCCTCCATGGTGCAGCTGGGTGTCGCTTCAGTGCAGTGGGGTAGGGCTTTGTGAGCATATGCAAGACAGCAGGATTCCCCCTTCTCCCTCCTCTCCTTTAGATGTGAGTTATGGCTGGATTGTTTTCAAGGTCTATCTGGGAAATGTGAAATGCCCCTATTAGCTGACCTGCCCCAATCAGAGGAATTGGTGCAGTCACATTTTATGAGGAGGAGAGAACTGCAGAGATGACATAAAAAAGGTGAGGAAAACCATCTCCTAAGCCACTGAGATTATTATGATACAGTAAAACAGCAAGTGACCTGGCTGCATGAGGGAACAGAGCAGAAGGGTGTGGGGAACTGTGGAGGTCCTGCTCCCCCAAGTCCCTGGGACACTCAGCTTGCCTCTGGGACACACCACCCCATCCTTCAGTCCAGGTGCTGCTACTGGAACTGCCATGTCTGCAGCGCATGGGTTGGGCTGAACATGCAGTGCCTCCCTTCTGACTGTAAAATGGATGTTTTTGAGAAACCATTGCAGTTTATTTGATTTTACCTTGAATTCCCAAAGTACATAATGCATTTTCCTCGCTCAAGCTGAGCAAGAGAAAGAAAGCAGTAGACTCCATTCTGGTACACGTCTCAGTGCTGTCTTTCTCTTGCCCTTCTCTCTGCTTGGAAGTGCAAAATACCCCTCTGGCAGTACCCATTATTGTGCCTTTGGTGCTCAGTGCACAGAGACACCCTAACTCTTAGCATGTCTGGCCCTCTGCTCTTGAGGATAAGCTTCTGTGTGGATTGCCTCTGCAGCATCTGTAAGTAAGGGAAAGATGGCTTGAGAGGTGGGTCTGAAAACGAGATCATTAGCTTTGTACACCCAAGGAAAAATGGTGAAAGTCTTCTTGCACCATTGCTGTCTCCAGAGCTCACCAGCTCTCTGAGATTTTGGGGCAAATCCATTGCTAGGATAAATCTAGAGATATCACACCAAGATTCATCTAACCTGTAGTGGCTTCTGATCCCAGGAGACCTGAAGACTGTTCTATTCTCCTTGATAGTGCCTATGCCTTGAATGCTGGGCAAGATGGGTGTAAGCCATCTTTGCTTGGGAAGGTGATTACTCTTCACCCATTTGACCTCTCATTCTGAGAAGACCACTTAGGTTGAGTTATGAATGGCCAAGATGACATCTTGGTGGAATGGTAAGTCCTAGTTGGAGCAATGGCCCAGGAGGAACAGCACAAGGCTGTTGTGAGGCTGGCACAGCTCTGACCAAAGTCTCTAATTGGACAGAGAGATGGGAGCAAAGCAGCTCCTCTTCCCTTCTGGCATAAAGAAACACATTCCCCACTTTCACCCTCACACCCTTGGTCCATTACTCTATGCATAACCATGATCTGACCCCAGTCCATCCATAAAGCCAGGCTCGGTTTGAGGCACAGGAGTGCAGGGATCAGCTCATGTTCCCTCCTTTCCCTGGAGAAGAAAGGATTTTCAGCAGAACCAAAGACCTTTGTGCTGCTGTCTTCATTCAAGGGTCCCCCTTGTCCCAGCACCCCCATTGCACCTGGGATGTGGTGCATCAACAGCTCCAAAGGCAACTCACAGTTTCCCAGTCCTTTTTTTTTTTTTTTTTTTTTTTTTTTTTGAAAGAGAATGAGAACTCTGGCTAATGCCAAAAGGAGGACAAGCCTGCTGGGGATTGCAGTTCACTTTTTAATTTTGAGATGCCTCGTTAGCTCTGGGCCGAGCTGAGTGGCTGAGAAGCATCAGCCACTCACTCTCCTCCCCTCTCCCCCACCCCCTGGAAACCCATTAGGCCGATGAGCAGGTCAGCTCTCAGGGGTGATGTGGTGGCATTGAGTGTGACATGTTCACCTGGGAGCTGAGCTGAACAGGAACAGCAGAAAATGCGGGAAAAAGGGGGAAAGTTGGAGCCATGTGGGGGTGATGGAAAAATCTGGGAGAACCTCCTCCAGAAAGCCATCCTTGGTCAGCAGAGGCTGCCTGAGGGAGTCAGAAGCTAGGAGAAGTGGAGTAGAATGGGTGATATTGAAGTGGATGCTGCATGGACAGCATCCATCCTTGGGGTGTAGGTGATAAACCCTTCTGTGCCCTGGTGAGGTCTGGCCATTCCTTCTTACTTTCCAAATACTGACCCTAGGTAGCATGCCAGGTCAAGGAGATGTGGGACAGTGGCAACATGCAGGGGCAGCAATGCTGAGTTTTCATGGGCTCAGCATGGATAAAGGGCAGGATATCATCACAACACACTCCTAATGGGTTTGGCCAGGATTGTGGTGAGGACCTGGAACAGGTTTGGAGGAAGTATCTGCATGGCAGGAGAAAGATTTAGGCAGTCTTCTGAAGCAGTCTTGGTACTGCAAGAATGGCAGTGGAAGGGAGGGAAGGAGCTTTTTAGGGTGGTGCTGGGAAGCCTACTCAGTTCGTGGGAAGCAGGGCAGCTCACAGGGAGACTAAGTGGCCCTGCCCTGGGGGATCAGTGGCACAGAGCTCCATGTCTTCTTTTGGGTGGGTTGCAAGCCAGGCTATGACACAGCAAACAGGATATAGCAAACCCCTGTGTAGAACTCGATGCTGCAGATCTGTTCTGGGAAGCATCACAAAGCTACGGGTGGGGAAGAGGGAGTTTTCAGAGCAGTACCCTGGTTCTTATAAGTGCTCTTAGGCACTTGCTTTCAGAAGCATTAGTACCACAGGAGGGAAAAAAAAGAAAGAAAGATACAAAAAAAAAAAAAAAAAAAAAAAAAAAAACCAACAAAACAAAAAAAACAACCTAGACAAAGTAAATGAAGACTATTTTGCCCCAGGGTAGAGAAGCCAGTAAAGGAGTGGCAGGAGGATCCCACTTGAGCTCAGTGACTCAGCTGCTCTCTGTTGGTGCAACATTTCCAACCTGAAACTTTGTGAGACTTTCTCTTCTTCCAAGGAGCTAAAAGAGGACCCTGCATGGAATCTTATCCAGATTTCAGTCGAAAAATAAGGGGATGTAATTCCCTGTTCCTTGTTCCCTGCCTACCTAGAAATGCAGGGTTCCTAGTGTTGCTCCTGAGTGATGTGCATGTTGTCTGAAAATGTGTGGTGAAAAGGGAATGATGGCATATGTTTCCATGTTTCCTATATTTCCATGCCTGTGTGTTCAGCAGCTCTCCCCACTCCAGATTTTCTTCAAATTTCTCCAAGAACAATTAGGGTGTAGGGGGTCTTGGATCCAAATGAGCCTGAGATTAGGGTTCTTAGCTCTGCTCCTCATGTGCTGTGCAGTATAGACCTGGCTTCCCACCTTCCATCAACCTTGCCCTGTCTCACTCTTTTCCTTAGACATGAACCCCTCCTTCATCTGCCCTCCCTGCTTCTCCTGCCTGCCCTTCCTGTCCTCATCCCTCTCTGCTCCATCACACCTGCACCCTCCTGTGGTCCCAGCCTCCTTCACGCCTTCTTGTTCCACAGCACTTCTTCCTCAGGGGCAATAAAGGCCACCCCAAGTTCAGTGGGCCTGAGGACAAAATCCTCAGCCATTCCCTGTGTAGCAATGTGGCTTAAAACCCAGAATTGTAAAAACAAATGATTGCTGATATGCATAAAGTGTTGCAGTGAAGCACTGTCAGTAGTTCAGGGCTTGGAAAGCAGCAGGGCTGGCAGAAGCAGCAGTGTTGGCTGGCACCAATGCAGCAGGAGGCGTGGGGCCGAGCCTTGGCCCCCCAGCTCAGCATGGCTGGGAAACAATCGGTCCCAGTGGCACTGTACTGGAAGGATGGGAATTTGGTGCCTTATGTAGGCAG